GATGACTTGTCCAACGTATCTCTTGGATCATGTACCAACTTTTGTAACTTCATTAATAAATATTATGTTCCTTATAAAAAAAGCTAGGGGTAACCTGTGCCAAGGTACAATGCAATGTGAATGGTTTTGAGAGAGATTTAGCTGGCGCTGGATGAATCTATTTGAGACTGTCGGATGGGCTTGTTGGAGTCTGTCCTGTTTTAACGTTTTATATTATAGATATAAATAGTCTTAGAAATTTGCTTCACAAATTTAAAGTAACCATGGTAGGCTATGATGTCAAGGTTTTATTTGCACTTCTCAATAGGAAGATATCTTTTTGGATTCTCGTGTACATTGATGTTCTAGATGGGGAAATGTGTCGGTCTCCTATTTAGTTAAGTAATTTTATTAAATGGGTGAACTGTTATTGCAGATGAACCATCCTACTCTTCCAATTATTCATTTCAGAGTCCCATTTCTTGGCGAGGTGATGGAAAATTCTTTGCAGCATTAAGCAAGGTGCAGGACTCATCTTCCTTGCATAAGAGGCTTAAAGTTTGGGAAGGGATTCTGGGGTACTCCATGCTGTTTCCGAATCAAGGGCTTTTATGGGAGCGATTTTAGATTGGATGCCTAGTGGAGCAAAAATTGCTGCTGCTGTTTATGACCAAAAAGAAGAAACAAAGAGTGCATCAATAGTTTTCTTCGAGAGGAATGGATTGGAAAGAAGCTCATTTAGTGTCGATGAGGGAATTGATGCAAGTATAGAGACTTTGAAGTGGAACTGCAATTCTGACCTTCTTGCAGCTATTGTTAGATGTGAAAAACATGAATCCCTCAAGATCTGGTTTTTCAGCAACAACCACTGGTACTTAAAGCAAGAAATTAGATATTTGAGGCAGGATGGTGTTCGATTTATGTGGGATCCTACAGATCCGCTCCAGTTGATTTGCTGGACTCTTGGTGGCATGATCATAATCTACAACTTTGTTTGGATTACAGCTGTCATGGAGGACTCAACAGCACTTGTCATTGATGGCTCCAAGATACTAGTAACCCCACTTTCACTATCCCTGATCCCACCTCCTATGTTTTCATTCAACCTAAAGTTTTCCACTGCTGTTCAGGATATGGCTTTCAGTTCGATGAGTTCTAAGAACCACTTGGCTGCAACTTTGTCGGATGGCAAGTTGTGTGTTGTAGAGCTTCCTGCTCTAGATACGTGGGAGGAACTGGAAGGAAAAGAATTCTATATAGAAGCTTCGTCTTTTGAAACAGGATTTGGATCTCCTGCACACCTTGTGTGGTTGGATTCGCATATGCTTCTCAGTGTTTCTCAGTTTAATATCGGACATAGTAGTAACTCTCTGGAAACCTCATCCAGCAAGGATGGGCTTCCAGGATATTACTTGCAGGAAATGGAGCTCGCATGTTCTGAGGATCATATCCCTGGTTTAGTTACATGCTCAGGCTGGCATGGAAAAATTTCTAATCAAATCTCTCTTGACAGGCTAGTAATTGGGATTGTTTCTAATCCTGCTAAAAGATGCTCTGCATATGTTCAGTTTGACGGTGGAAAAGTGTTTGAGTATACTTCAAAGTTGGGCATCACAGGAGGAGTTCCTCTTCAGGAACATGATGATATGAGATTCTCATCATCTTGCCCTTGGATGGGTGTTGTTCCTGTTGAGGACCATGGGATGTCAAAGATTTTACTTTTTGGACTTAATGACAATAATAAGCTGCATGCTAATGGGAGAATATTATGCAACAATTGCAGCAGCTTCTCATTTTACTTGAATTCTGCTGACCAAGTAATCACAAATTTGATTATTGCGACTACACAGGATTTGGTGTATGTAATTGACATTAATGATATTTTGCATGAAAATCTAGAATCTAAATATGGTAAATTCCATCCTGTTCTCAGGAAAAGAAATGGAGAAGACGACGGAGTCTTTATAACTATGTGGGAAAGAGGTGCCAAAATTGTAGGTGTCTTGCATGGAGATGAATCTGCGGTTATATTGCAGACAACTCGTGGAAATCTAGAATGCATCTATCCAAGAAAATTGGTTCTGGCCTCAATTGTCAATGCTTTGGTCCAAGGGCGTTTCAAAGATGCACTGCTTATGGTAAGGCGGCACAGGATAGATTTCAATGTTATTGTTGATCACTGTGGTTGGAAAACCTTTGTTCATTTGGCAGCAGAATTTGTCAGACAGGTAAATAACCTGAGCTATATAACTGAGTTTGTTTGCTCCATGAAGAATGAAAACATGATGGAAACGCTGTACAAGAACTATATATCCCTACCATCCATAAAGGATGATAAGGTTCTGGAATCTGGAGGCTTAATGGGTTATGATGGTAATAGCAAGGTCAATTCTGTCCTGTTGGCCATAAGGAAGGCTCTTGCGGAGCAAATAGTGGAAAATCCTGCCAGAGAGCTTTGCATATTGACCACCCTAGTTCGAAGTGAGCCCCCAGCTCTTGAAGAAGCTTTGAAGAGGATAAAAGACATTCGAGAAATGGAACTGTCAGGTTCTGATGACCCAAGGAAAATAGCATATCCATCTGCTGAGGAATCTCTGAAGCATCTTTTGTGGTTGTCCGAGTCTGAGGCTGTTTATGAAGCTGCTTTAGGTCTTTATGATTTGAACCTTGCAGCTATTGTTGCATTAAATTCACAGCGGGATCCAAAGGAGTTTCTTCCGTTCCTACAAGAGCTGGAATGTATGCCAACTCTGTTAATGAAATATAATATTGACCTTAAACTGCAAAGGTATGAGAATGCTCTCAGGAACATTGTTTCGGCAGGAGATGGTTATTTCGAAGAATGTATGAACCTCATGAAGAGTAATCCCCAACTATATCTCCTAGGACTTCAACTAATCACTGATCCTGCTAAGAGGAGGCAAGTTCTAGAATCCTGGGGGGATCATCTAAGTGAAATAAAATGCTTTGAGGATGCTGCAACAACGTATTTATGTTGTTCATGTTGGGAAAAAGCGCTGAAGGCCTATCGTGCTGGTGGGAACTGGGGTGGTGTGCTGACAGTTGCTGGTCTTATTAAACTTGGAAAAGAGGAGATTATGCAACTGGCACATGAGCTCTGTGAAGAACTCCAAGCCCTTGGTAAACCAGGGGAAGCAGCCAAAATTGCCTTGGACTACTGTGGAGATGTCAACAGCGGGATTAGGCTTTTGGTCAGTGCAAGGGATTGGGAGGAGGCTCTGAGGATTGCTTTTCTGCACAGGAGGGATGATTTAATCTCAGAAGTAAAGAATGCATCTCTCGAGTGTGCCAGCATACTGATTGGTGAATATGAGGAAGGGTTGGAGAAAATAGGTAAGTACGTGGCACGCTACTTAGCAGTCCGACAGCGAAGATTATTACTTGCAGCAAAGCTTAAGGCAGATGAGCGGTCATTAAAGGAACTTGATGATGAAACTGCTTCCGAAGCTAGCAGTAGCTTTAGTGGGATGAGTGCATACACCACAGGGTATGTCTTTTAGATTTGCAATTCATTTAAAATTTTCGTTTAGTTCATTGAACTTCACTAGAGCGGTAGAGCCACTTTTTTTAACATGCATTTCTGATTTTCTTTCTTGTTGAATTTGTGCTGATGTTATTTCTCTCTTTGCTAGTGCTGTTTTTGACATCCTTCATTTATTTTTTACTGTACAACTGTACATAATCTTTGTGCGTGTACAATTCTTTGTGGCAGTCGGGCCTATAGCCTCATAGTATACTTGTATAAGGATCTATCACTCATTGGGCTGATTGCATTTTTGTTGCCGGCATGCATATATTCTCACTCTAGTTGCATTTCTTGTGGGTAGGTCTTGCTGGGAGAATTTGCCATAGATTAGTCCCTTAAAAGCATGTAGATGGTAATTGTTGAATAATAAATGACTACATCTTTTGTCCCAGGTTTTTTTTTTTAAATGCAGCAGGACTGTAGTGATGCAGTAGATGAGGAAGGAGACACGGTTTTTTATCACCTTGTATTTGACTTGTCGTTCACACACATTGTTTTCCTTGCTATTGCACTTCTTTCTGACTCTACTCGTTAAAGTGGTGTGATAACTCGCCAAAGCAAAGTTGATGCAGACTATGTCATGTGGGTTGCTTCTCAGTACTCATTAAAATGACACATAATGAGCTTGTTTCATGTTTACTTTTTTTTTTTTGTGGCATCAAGATTTAAAAAAAATCTGTGACTTTCTTTTCAGTGGTTTTGGATATTTTTTGATCTTCTTCACTTTACAATTGAATATTTCTTACTTGTATTGCTTATCATTTAATCCAAATGTTCATTTACTGAATCTAGTCACGAGCAATATTTTTCTGAATCTGAACCATCATTTGTGCTTTTATTTTGTTTCTACCTGTTCCTCGTGCACAGCCTAAAGTATGCACCATCAGTCATCCCTTCTTTTGCAGAAAATCTGCGTTTTCTATGCACATCTCTATAAACTTATCTCTGTTTGAGCTTCTTTGAATTGGCTATCGACTCCTCTGCATACCTGAGGTGCTATAGATTACTTCCTTCTCCTATATAATTTTACTCCTTCGGTCAGTACGATTATTTAAGACAATTATAGTTCCATTGGTTGCTATAAGTTGTTCAATTAGGGCTTGCACAAGAGCAGGTAGAGGTGAGCTCTATGTTCCCTGGACTTAACATATTTCATGAAAGTTCTTCGGTTGACATGATGTGAAATGGGATAGTGTTGTGGAGATAGGACTTGGCTGCCTGTAGGAGAAGAAGATGAAGAACATAAGTTTTTCCATGAGATTTTGGATTGCACAACCAGTTAATCTTCTGGAATAGTTTGGCAGAAGTGGTCCTTAAGTTGGATACGAAGACTGGGTTTTCTGTCACTCCTTTTTTTGGTAATAGGGATGATGGTTTTGACTGATCTGAAGCTAGATCTCACATATACATATCTATCTGTCTGCCTATTTACGTATCTGTCCATCTATGTACCTACCTATCTATCTGTCTATTTACATGCCTGTCTGTCTATACATGTGTGTTTGAGTGTGTTTGTATGCTAATTTTGTGAGCTACACCTTTTTAATGTTTTTGGAATCTTCGGATGATCACAATTAATGTTTTATACATTTTCGGCTGTAAGACGAAGAAAACCCTTCACTAAATTTTTTTTTTAAAATTGCTCCACATCCTTTAAATTTGTTTCACCCTCGCCCTTTCTCTTGAATTATCTTTTTGAAGTAGTTGTTGCTCCATTTCAGAAGTTTAGTTGCATCATCTTGTCCATTCTGCCGAATCAGATGGAATGAAGGATGTAACCTAGGCATGCAGCACTCTGCATGTGTTCTCAATTCCATCTATCATAAGTAGTGGGTTGCTACATAGCAAGGTTTTCTTGCGAGAGATGAGGATTCGTGAACAAGAATTTTGTGTGATGACTTGTCAAACGATAGCATTTATTCCAAACGCGCAGGGTATCCAATGTGAGAATGATGGTGGATAGTTGGCAAAGAAAGATTAATGGAAAAATGCATTTGTCAAAGGCTAAATGTGGCACAGGTTGTGTAAAAGACTCCAAGAATTTTATTTACAAGTGACGACAAGTAATTCAGGCATTAGTAAGAACACAATTAAGTTTGTAGGTGCTACAGGGACAAGAAAAAACAAAAAATTGTGGGTTGGTGTCAGTGAAATAGATATTTGATTGCTTATGGACCCTTGAGTAAAACTTTAGTGGGGTTACCAAAGGGGGGCCACAATCCATACATATGAGAGGTACACAAAACCTAAAACCCTAACCACTAACTCTAAAGTAGTTCTATTACTCTCCAAATATTTCACATCAATCAACAGGCAACACATCACATTTCTTCGAAAGCCATTTCTTGATCTTGTACTCCCTCCAATTACTTATAAAGCCTTCCAAGATCCCACAACCTTGGCATTACCATATCACACCAGGCAAAGCTCATAAAAAAGTCCACAATGCCCGAGCCACTTCAAATGCAGAAGCAAATGATCAACAGACTCCCCTACCTTTTTGCTCATACACCATTAACTCACAAGGGACTTCTCTCTCTCTCTCTCTCCCCTCTCAAGTTTTCAATTGAAATGGCTTCTAAGACTGCAGCCCAAGTAGAGAGGGCCACCTTTAAGGAAGCCTTAGCCTTTCAAAACACCTTTCCAAGGGAAGCCCCATTAGCCACTCACATGAGCCAAATAACAGGGCTTCTCTAAGACATGCACACATCTGTCAGCTAAAACCAACACATATTGTGGTCCTTTGGATTCCTTGTTTTTTGAAATCTGAAACAGAGCAGAAACTCTACCTAAGGGGTTGGTGCTCATACCAAGAGTACAGGAAAATTTGCTTCCTCCTATCACCCACCACAAAAGATATATGCTCAGTGAACTTATTCTATTCACATGAAATCAATTTCCACCAAACACCATGAAGAGTTCCCTCCTTTTTGGTACACTATCCATCATGGCACTTCAATACCTTCCATCCATCGGCCTTCTCCACTAGTTTTCCTTCTCTCAAGAATATGTTTCCACAAGCATTTTCCCAGCAGAGCCTGTCCAAAGACTCCCAAGTCCTTAATAAAAGGAAAGAAACACCTGCATACAAACACAAATATGCCTGGAGAAAATGGCAAAAATACTATCGAATTTCTCTTCTTGTTGATACCTAAGATTTGCTTGTCTTCTTTGTTTTACATGTGTTTGAAGATTGGTTTGTGACAGCAATATTGGTTACTTCAAGTGCTTGACTGTCCATCATTAATGAGCAGATCAAGAAAGGGTTCAACTGCTTCTATAAGCTCAGGTACCTCTAGCAAGGCAAGAGACATGAGGCGTCAGAGGAATAAAGGAAAAATTCGTGCTGGCAGGTATTTTTTTTTTCAATTCATTACAAAACATTTTTCTGTTGTTTTTCACTGCTATCTGCTACATTCTCATGGGTGGTTAAATAAACTGTCATCTAGCCCTGGTGAGGAGATGGCCTTGGTAGAGCATTTGAAGGGGATGTCTCTTGTCGCTGGAGCAAAATGTGAGCTTAAGTCTTTGTTGCTCTCCCTCTTGATGCTTGGCAAGGAAGATATTGCAAGGAAGTTACAAAGGATTGGAGAAAACTATCAACTGTCTCAAATATCAGCAGTAAAACTTGCTGAAGATGCAATGTCAAGTGACAGGGTAGATGAGCATACATATTCTTTTGAGCATTATATTCAGAAAGTCAAAAAAGAATTGCAACTTTCAGAGGTTTTCACTTGGCAATCTAAAGTATTGCTTTCACCGTAACAGGTACCAGCTGCTAAAACCTGTATCTCACTGCACAATACATTATTAAGGGGTCATTATCTTGTGTGTGATAAAAGTATTAGGCTTACAACCCTTAGGGTTGTGAGTTCAAACCAAAGGCAAAGCATCTATTTAGTGCGGATAATGCAACAAATTGGGTCAATAACCAATATGGCTCCCAACACCCTCGATTAACAGGGACCAAACTGGTTAACGGCTGGTTTCTTAAAAGAAGATATTAAAAAAGGTGGAACTTGAAGGATACACCCTATTCATTCTTTTTAGTGATTTTTGTTTTGAAGATGACCATCCTGTTGTTATTTTCTGCAGTTGTTGAAGTCATCACTTTTTGGGATATATTTATTTTTCAATGTTGTTTAATTTGGATCTGTGTGAACATCTGCATGATGTTTCCTTATGCATATAGTCATTTCTCCTGTCCTCTTTGATTGTCCTTCCCAAATCAGAAGGCTGTAAATTGGAAGAAGGCTATGGCATTTGGGGAGTCTATTGTGCTTGGGCTGAAGTCAGCTTGAATGGTTGTCCTGTTGAATTGCTTACTTGAGTTTAATGATTGCAAGTATTGATTGCATTCTTAGCTATCCGTAATCAGGTGATGTTCTCAGTCACCTTGGTTTCTAATCTCTCACGCAGAGGAAACTCTCCCTCTGTGTGTCTCTGTTTGTAATTCTATTTTTGGCGATGCTTCCTATTTCTACCTTTTTTTTTTTATTTATCATAATTGTCATGATGACACATTTCTCTCTCTTTTTTATAAACAACTGGCACTAGCTAAGATAAAATTGTTTTAATTGGTACTTGAAGCTGGTTTTGTGCTTGATCTCAAACTTATGTTATGTTTTTTTATCCCTATCAGGGCTTTAGTAATGAAAATTTAAAAAGTGGTTAAAAAGACATCTAGAGCTAAATGAATCTGTGTGAATGCCATATAGCAAACTCTTATTTCTTCGGAATAATTTCTGCTTCCATGAGAAATGCAACTTGTAAATTCATTAACTTGGGCGGCTGCTCACAGGTACGTTTCCTCAGTGCTGTGAGATGTTTAGATGGATCAAATCGCTTATCATGTTTTACATATCATTTGAAGGGAAAATTTGAAATCATTTTTCTTGGCTGGGCCAAGTGTCCAGTTGAATGGAATTGCTTCTCAGGTCTTACATATTTTATTGACATATTTGTTTACATGAATGGGGGTTCATGAAAATAAAAATGGTGGCCTTGTAAGAGTCATCTCAGAAACTCGAGTTTGTATCCCATGTTGCTTGTTATTGTTCAGCAACCATTGCATTTAGTTGTGGTTTGTCACACAACAAAGCTGTTCAGTTTCCTTGAGACATATATATATTTGCTGCTTGATGTCTGCAGCTGTATCTACGGTACTGTGAATGTCTTTCTGGATATTGTGCTTAATAATAGTGTAGCAATGATTTTTGCTTGTTGGGGCTAAGTCACTGGTTTTTCACTGCTACCGCCTGTCCTAACTTCTCTTGCATTCCCTGTTTTTAAAGGTACCATTTTCTGCTTGCTTTGTGGTTGTGCGTGCTGAGACCTGTAGCTGATATATAAACTAACTATGGAAATATTGGTGATGGCGATGAAGGAGTGGGGGCAGCAAGAGAGGTGAATTGCAAGCTGTACTGAAATCTTTCCTTTCTATCTCAGTTTGGAATCTGTTTTATCTGCTTGAATTATGTATTGCTTTGCCACACTTGAAATTTTTTGCCTTCATTGTCTTTGTTTTATTTAAATATGTCAAAAGCTAGGGTGGCAATTTTCCATATAGTATGGTGTTCATTGGATGCTTTATGGGTTGGTTGTGGTTTTTGTTGGATGGATCGGACAAGTGAGAAATATAACGGGAAAGGTAGAAACCACACAGAATCCAGTTTAAAAGGCAGTGTTGAAATAGTTCCTTTTCTTCTTAGAAAGAAATTTATATTAGTATAAAACTGAACAATACCTCTCGGAATTAAGAGGCACAAGATCATATAGTTATACAGATTATTAGACATTTTAGAAGTCAAGTCAGCAAAATGTATGGCGATAATCAGTGAGATGGAGCCTAAGTTCCCAGTATCGATACTTGGCTGTGCTGCTGACTCTGGCTCTCTCTGCTTATTAGATTCGATTGCAGGAATTCATGGAAGAGAATGCAGATAGGGTGACGACTCGCTCCTATTCCAAGTTCAACTACCACACTGGCTATGTCCCAAAGAGGGGAAAGCTCTCTGGATGCACATAGGATGCTCTGTTTATTTATTTTGCTTGTGAAGAAGGGGTGAGGACAATGGTGAGCATCCAGAGACTACTCCGATAAGATTTCACTGGTGGGATCATGAGGTCTTTGACCGTGTCTCGGAAATGAACCTAGCATAGCAATTAACCACTAAGCTCTAATATGGATTCTAAGACTTGATGTTTCAATTTCAGGGTGAGAAATTCACTTAGAGGTCAATGGTGTTTTTGGGTGTTTTGGAGACCAAGTAGGGGAATAATGAAAACATGGGAAACACACTCTTTAATGAGGTTTGGACATTAAGTTTTGTTAGAGGCATTTTCATCCATTTTTGAGATCAGTTCAGCAGACACAATCGAGCTCCGCAACTCATCTCTCTCTCTCAACTCTCCCTCTGTCCCCTCTCTAACGAAATTCAACAGACCGGTATATATGTACAAAGCTAAACATAGATCTTCATATATACAGAGATCTTTGTGTGTGCTGTGTGTATATATATATATTGTGCAATGGGTGTGTGTTTACTGGGTGATGTGTGTGGGTGTGGGTGTGGGTGTGGGTGTGGGTGTGGGTGTGGGTGGAGAGGAGATAATGGAGAGAGAGATAAGGGAAAGACAGGGAGATAGGAGTGGAGAGAGAATGACGGTAGGAGTGAAGATAAAATTTGGGTGGGGGATTTTATGAAACATTGTTTAAATAGGTTTTATTATTTTTTATTTTTTTAAATTATTTTCAAAACACATATAACCAAATAGATTTTACAATATAAAAATATTAAAAACACTTTCTTAAAACTCCTTTTAAAAATTGTTTTTAAATATTATTTTTTGAGTTACAATTCAAATACGCCATAATTTTCTTTGCAAACAACTTGGAGATTGAGTGGCATCAATACCTTGTTTTTTCAGACACCAGACTGTAAGTGATGATAAGAAGATTGACAAGGATATATGCACTTAAGTACTTAAGCCAGCACAAACCCCTTCTAACCTGCAAGCACAAAAATAACCCCAATAAAATAAAAAATAAAAAACAACCAAGAATTATAAAAAACACCAAGTCAACAGAAAACCTTTATCGAGAACCATGAGCTTCCTTCAAGTTTAATACCTTTACTCGATTTCATAAGCTTAAATAAAGGCAGCAACACCAAACTCGTTAATCGGCCTTCAAGAGCACGATTCAGCAGTTCATGCAGTAACATTGTGACCTTTGAATGATCAGGTACTTGTGCATGAGCACATTCTAGCACCAAAAACTGAGTTCCAATTATCAATTTGTCTTGCTCTTGTTCTTAGTTGTCTACGTTCTCACTTAACTGTCCGACCTGCCTGACTTAAAATATGTTTGGACATCACAAAACCTAGCATAAGACAATTATTCCAAAGCAAAATGCTGTCATTGAAGTGCACACCGTCAAAACACCAGCAACTCTTGTAATAACTACATGAACTCTCCCAAAAGGACTAGTCAAGGAGTTGTCATGTGGAGTCACTGTGTTTACATATATACCCAAGATATTCCATGTAAACTTTCGATGTCGGATTCAATACACATCAATGCAAGTCGTCAGAAGTACACACCGTCAAGATCACCAGCAACTCTTGTAATAAATACATGAACTCTCCCAAAAGGACTAGTCATGGGGTTGTCATGTGGAGTCACTGTGTTTACATATATACCCAAGATATTCCATGTAAACTTTCGATGTGGGATTCAATACACATCAATGCAAGTCGTCAGAAGCTTCCATCCTTTCCTTGCGTCCCCATAAAGGACCCACAATCAATCGCATATACCACAACCCCGCATTGCAGTACCCCCAACCCACACGGTCGTGTCCATGGGTCTGCTCTGATACCAAATGTAATAACCATTAAAACTCTCACAAAAGGGTAAGCAAAGGTGTTGGCATTTGGAGTCATTATTCCTACATATATACCCAAGACCTCTCATTTAAGCTTCTGATGTGAGATTCAATACACGCCAATGCAGGTCGTCACAATCTTCTCTCATTGTTTCCCTTGCGTCCTCGCAAGGGACTCACAATCAATCATAAATACCATGACCCCGCATTGCCACATGATTGTGTCCATAGGTCGACTTTGATACCATATTTAATAACCACAAGAACTCTTCCAAAGGGCAAGCCAATAAATTGTCATTTAGAGTCATTTTTCCTACATATATACTCAAGATCTCCGTTATGGGATTCAACATATGGCAATACGGATCGCCACAACTATTGCATGAGCTGATGCCATTGCCAAAGGGATGAGGAGTGGATCTAGTGGATTGCGATATTCGAAATACACTACTGTGGTGTTGCACTCTACACAAATGCGTAGATTCTTCATCTATTCCGGATCTGTATTGAGAAGACCAAAAGTTACAGCCAATCTTTCACTGTGATGACTGTAAAGAAACTCTTCTATGTAACACAGCTCTGATCTTGAACATAACCCATTTTCTCCGTTTTATCAAGTAAAGAATTCCCCAACAAATCCCTGTGCTCTAATTGTGTCTTGTCACCTACTTGAAACGCCTGGACCCTGTTTTTGACCTCAACCCAGCTACATCCAGGAGCTTTCATTAATCCACTGTCATTCATCTTTAATCTCGTGTGTCGTGCATCGCCCCACCTACCAGATTGAGAATAGATGCCCGATAAGACCACATAATGAGCTGGATTCCCAGGCTCGAGTTTAGCAAGATGATTTAATGCCACCTCTCCTAACTTCACATTAGAATGCATTCCACATGCACCCAATAGGGCTCCCCAAATTCCTGCATCAGGTTCCATTGGCATTGTCTCAATTAAACCCCAAGTTTCATCAAACAACCCTGCACGACCTAACAGATCCACCATGCAAGCATAATGTTCAACATCTGGTTCAAGGTGGTGTTTTTCACGCATAGAGTAAAATATTTTCCTCCCTTCCTCAATCAAACCCGCATGTCTGCAAGCAGACAAAACACTGACAAAGGACACAGGATCAACCTCAACATAACTCTCTTGCATAAGTGAGAAAAATGAAAGAGCTTGATCTCCATGCCCATGCACTGCGTACCCAGCAAGCATAGCATTCCATGAAACCGTGTCCTTATTTTCCATCTCATTAAAAATTTGTTTCGAGTAATCAAGGCGCCCACATTTGGCATACATGTCAATGAGACTATTTCCAACAAGTGTATGAGACTGAAATCCCATTTGGATTATGCAGACATGAATAGCCATGCCTTCTTTCAAGGCTGCCACATATGCTACTGCAGGAAGGACGCTTACAAATGTGACTAAGTTAGGCTGCAGCGACTCCAATTTCATCTGGCAGAAAGAAGAAATGGCTTCCTTGGCAAGTCCATGCTGCATGTACCTTGCAATCATTGTGTTCCAGGATATCTCATCTTTAAGGAATTCAGCTTTTCTGAACAAAAATTCTGCTGACCAAAGGCTTCCACATTTTGCGTACATGTCAATGAGTGCATTATTCACATGACAGTCTGACTCAAACCCGCCCTTAATAGTTTGCCCATGAATACAAGCCCCTCGGTCCAAGTCACCTAAGAGGGTGCAGGCTGGAACAACACCCACCATTGTTCCTGCGTCCGGGAGTATCTCAGATAACTGTAATTGGTGATACATTTCCATTGCATGGTAGGGGTCGCCTATCTGAGCATACCCATTTATCAAAGCATTCCATGTCACCACCTCTTTATGTGGCAGCCTATTGAATATAATCACGGCCGAAGTTAAGTGGTCACTTTTAGCATACATGGAAACTAGTGCTGTTCCTGTTAAACTATCAGAATCAATACCAACCCTGATAGCATAGCAGTGTAAGCTCTTCCCTAGTTTCAAAGACAATAATTCTGCACAGGCTGGAAGAACACTAACTAGAGTTACCCTATTTGGCTTCCAATTCTCATTATGCATTTCTCGAAATAGAGAGAGTGCTTCTTCAGCACACCCAGATTGTGCAAAAGCAGCTATAATCGCAGACCAAGCAATTAAATCTCTCCCCTCAAGTCTCCTTAACAACTCTTTAGCCATCTCAAACTCTCCACACTTGGCGTACATTGTCATTATAGGAGTAGCCACCACAATATCTGAATCAAGCCGTTGTTGCATAACACAATCATGAATCTCCATCCCCTTTTCTAAGTTCCTCATTTCAGCAGCTGCCAACAAAGCACTCACAGCTGATACCTTATTCATTTTCAAATTCTCCAGTCTCATCTGATCAAATAACTCTAAAACCTCGCAAAAACTTCCATTATGTGCATACCCTGCCATCATCGTACCCCAAGAAACTTCATCTCGGCCCCACATCTGACGAAAAATCACCCTAGCAATATCTGCGTATCCACATTTAGAGTACAAATCAATTAACCCATTCAAAACAGCAGTTGGGAAAACCCTTCTAACCACATATCCATGGATAGACTTGCAAGATTTGATATCCATTAATTTTGATATTGCAGGCAACAAATTCAGTAAGCTCACTGAATTAGGCTCCATACCACCACCACCCACTTGCATTTGCCTAAAGAACCCCACTGCCTCTTTAGGATTCGAGCTTTGGGACAAACCTGAAAGCATTGCATTATAGGCCACTATATCCTTGTTTGACATTTTATCAAACACTCTTCTTGCACTTTCTAAATCACCCGTTTTACAGTACATATCCACAAGCCCAGTCCCAATGAACACATCACATTCCAGACCCTTATCAACTATTTCTCGATGAATGGAAACACCCTCTTCTAAATCCAATAATTCAGCACAAGCTTTGAGTAGAAAAGTGAATGTGTACTTGTCTGGTTGTAACTGTTTTTCCAACATGTAACCGTATATTTTAAGAGCTTCTTCTTGCTGGTTTGACCTTATATAAGCTCTGATCATTGAGTTCCATAAAATCACAGCTGGGTTCGGTGTAGAATTGAATACAGAGCGAGCATAATCGGGTTTTTTGAAGGACGAGTACAAATTAATGAGATGGGTATATGTCGAGTTGTTAGGATTGAAACCTGAGATAATGAAATGGGCATGGATTTGCAGGAGAGAGTTCAAGTCTTTGCAAGAAGAGAGGAGGGCCAGGGACTCGAGAGGGTAATTCCTTGGATTTGTCAAGGATAGAAATGGCGCCTCAGAAGAAGTTCTTGTGAGGGAATGGAAGAACCTACGTTGTGCGTGTGTTCGGATCATCTTTCAGAGATGATTCATTCATTGTTTCATTGCCTGAAAGACTAACTATCGAGGAGAGTAAAAGCGGCCAACGAGTTTTCGAACGCTTTCCGACATCCAAAATGATATGCTGTGTTTGCTCACTTCTGTTTTGAGGATTAAAACTAGCCGTTTCAATCATCTAGGTGGGGCCGGATTTGTTCAGTTTATGTGAAAAAATATTCAGCAATTGTTATAAATTGCCTATAATAGTGTATAACCGATATATAAAAAGGTTATATCGTAATTTTTTTTTTGATTAACTTTGCTTATACTCTATTTATTTATTAATTATTTTGTCGATTACACTTAGACTCTTAAATTTTTTCACTTAATTACTTAAACTTTTTGATATTTGACATATTACACACAAATTATCTAAAAGTTTGTATACACGTGATACAAAGACGTTGCCGTTAATGTTCGTTAGTCTATCTATTATAAATTATACCTAAATCTCTTGAAATTTATAAATTTATAATATTTAAATTCTTCAAGTTTAAAATATTATAGTTAAACCTCGTGTCAGTTATAAATCTTACAGAATCTATTAAACAACCAAATTACCCTAATTAAAGATAGAATATATTATATCAATTATAATTTGACTTCTTGTTTATTTTTTTAATTTTGTTCTAATAAATAGTATAATTATATGTAAACAAGTGTTGAATTGAATTTTTTGATATATTTATACTAATTACTATACGCAGTCCATATCTTTAAGTCAGAAAGAAGACTTCCGCAGCTCCCCCGTGGTCTCCGTCTTCTTTTTTAAGTGATCGAAACCCAGCAAACTAACGTGTTGATCGAACACATTTTTTACATCAACCGTACTAGTTATAATTTTTTAAAGAAAAAATTAAATTTTTATTTTTGATTTTATTTTAATAAATGACATAATAGAACTTGAATTTTGATTATAAAATTTAAAATATTTGATATTTTATTTTTAATTTGAATATTTTTTGTTTAAGTATAATATTTTAAACTTGAGGGCCATATGTGTTACACGCAACAAATTTCAAGAGGTCTAAATATAATTTATTAACGAATATTCTAAATATTGAAGATAGGGGTATAAGTTTTACATGCGTACAAAATTTAGAGGGTCTTTGTGTAATATTTTAAATATCAAAGAATTTAAGTGATTAAGTAACAAATCTCAAAGAGTTTAGATGTAATTTTTTTTTTAAAATTAATACAGTTAATAAATACATAGTAAATAGGCCAAATTAGTGATAAATGCTTATAATACATTAAATAAACTTTTTAACTGAATATTGATATGAACGTGACAACAAATTAAAATGACGCAATTGGAAGGCGAAACAACCAGACAAAGAATCTATTAATGGATTATACTATGTTGTTCTCTTCTTGTAGACTTTATTCACACTTAATGTAAGGGGTAGAAATCACTACGGATCTCATCCCTCCACCTGAAGGATTCCGGCTAGCCTGACGGTACCGAGCCCCAGTAGTCTTTACTTCTCTTCACCAATAGGACCATTTTCTAAGGTAATCCCACATCGGAAGAGAGTCGTCTTTCCCCCTGCCATATAAGTGAACACTTCCTATGGAGGAGGTGCACCTGATCAGGTCGCTAGTGTGTACCTCCTCCATAGGAAGTGTTCACTTATATGACAGGGGGGAAGACGATTCTCTTCCGATGTGGGATTGCCTTAGGAAAGAGTCCTATTGGCGAAGAGAGGTAAAGGCTACTGGGGCTCGGTGCCGCCAGGTCAGCCGGAATCTTTCAAGTGGAGGGATGAGATCCGTAGCGATTTCTACCCCTTACAAAAAAGGCGTCTTTCTGTAAGGGGTAGAACCCTCTACTAAGGATTTCGGCTTCAAGCCACGCGGGCGACCCCCCAGTAACCTTTACCTCTCAGTGCCCACAGGAGCTACGTCCCACATCGACTGAGAGTCGTCTCCCCCCCTCGCATATAAGCGCTTGCACTCAAAGGAGGAGGTACGCACTAGGCACCTGTGGGTACCTCCTCCTTTGAATGCAAGGGCTTATATGCGAGGGGGGGAGACGACTCTTAGTCGATGTGGGACGTAGCTCCTGCGGGCACTGAGAGGTAAAGGCTATTGGGGGGTCGCCCGCGTGGGTTAACCCAGGTCAAACCAAAATCCTTAGTAGAGGGTTCTACCCCTTACACTTACTTATAATAGTAATTTGTATAGATTTCACTATAACAAGGATCAACCGTCATGTATATACACAATAAGAAACAATTATTAAGCCATTGTAACTGGGAGTTAAGGTGTCAGCAGTATATGGTTGGTCAGATACTCAAGAGATCCAATTTTTGTCCTCGCAGAGGGAAAAAAAAAAGAAAGAAAAGAAATCTATAGCCAACCTTCCTGTAAGAGATGTAGTCCAACGCTCTCCCTTGTTGGAAAGTAGTTACTATCGGAGCCACCAAAGAAGATGTTTTTTGACCAATGGCTATACAAACATATATTACATTTTAACTTAGTTGATTGAGAATCATATTTGTGGTTTCTACTGTTAGAGATAGTTAGTAATGTAAAGAATTCCACATTAAAAAAGTTGAAAGGGAATGTAAGGGTTTAAAAGAAGAAACACACCAAATTTTGTAAATTTAGATGGTGGGAAAATTTGGAGAGAAGCTCCAAATATTTCAAATCAATCAGCCTTGATTAGACTTTAAATAAAATATTATTTAAAATCAAAAGATGGGATCTTGGGCTTGAAACCTTTAAATAATTAATTATTTTTGTATTAATTAATTGTTAAATGTCTTTTGGCCTAAGAGTTGTGTCTCATCTTTACATCTCTTTGGCCCAAGAGTTGTGTCTTCTCACTAAGGTATTATAAATACTTGTACAGATCTTTCAATTGAAGAATATACAAAAAAAAATGTTTCTCTATTCTATTCTTGGAAGAATTTTAGAGTTTGTTATCTGAAATTCTGTTTGAGTTTGTTAATCTTAAAGGAATTTGCCATAAACCCAGCAACAACATAGTGGAGGCATAATTTCTTTAAGGACAGTGAATACACGATCAAAGCTTTCTAATTTGGTGTAATCCTATTTTGCTAACATCTACTGTTTTATTGGTTTATCAGTTTTCAATAATTAATTCTCACCAACTGCATCTTATAGGAATCATTGAATTAATATCAATAAGTCCCGTCTAAAGAGAGGTTCATGAAACAAGATAAGCATTTGGTTCGATATAAATAGTCATTGACTAAAAATTCAAAATTTTGATTCATCCTTTTTTTTCGAAGATTTCATAATCAGACGTTAATTGTCTATCATGTTGTCGACGATCTATACTAGTTCCTAGGCCTGACAATCGTGTCGAGTGAAACGGTTTTATGTCGGGTGGAACAGGTTTATGTAAAAAAATTCTTCATATATATCTTATTCGTTTATATAAACAAGTTCAATTATCACACTCATACACGAATCATTTATTAGACGGGTTATCCAATATAATCTGTGTGTCACCCCCTAAATAAGAAAATATGTTAGATAATTTTGAATCCTCATAAAAATCATTAACTCGCCATACATTATACATGTTTGAACTATTTACTATAACAATAAATCATGACTGAACAAAAAAAATAAACATTAAATGACTACTAAATTTGAATGATTCTGAGAGATAGGAGGTGTGAGATGAGGTAGAGGCTGAGAAACCTAATTTGTTTTTTAACAATTTATTGTACCACTTTTAATTGGTTAAATTGGTTGAAATGAGTTTATGTGTTAAACACAAAATCGATTCGTTTATTTCACAGGTCTACCAAGTTAACTCATTAATCACTCGAACTCATTAGGACTACACTCGAACCCGCTAAATTTGTGTCACGTTTGTGTCTAGAATTGCCAGCACTACTAGTTCCCATGCCCCCTTTTCTTTAGTGCATGGAATGGTTTCATACATAGAGACCTATGCAACATGATTTAGATAAGGGGCGGAGCCAAAAAAATATTTTAGGGTGAACACATTAATAAATTTTAATTATTTTTTTATTAATATTACCAATGACTTAATTCAATGTAACTATTATTTTAATTGTAAATTTTAAGAGAAATGTTATTTGGACCTAAAATTTTGATCTAATTTGCTGACATAATAATGTGGTTTAATAGGAATCATTGAATCATACCAAGTTCTAATGTTTGATGGGGTCTGCAGCTAATCCAAAAGTCACATTGAATTAGGTCAATTTTTTAAGTCCCAATAACATTGCTCAAATTTTAATGTTAGATGAAGTCTACTTTCAATCAAAGGGGTGCATTGAATTATGTCATCAAATTAGATTTAAATAACATTTTTCATTTTTTTTTCAATTGACCATAGAAGCTCATAAATTCATATTTACTATAATTATGCGTAAAAATTCATTAAACATAAAATGTTAAAAAACGATTTGTACGGAATGAACAAATAAAAAATAAAAGTAAATTAATTAAAAATTCGTATGATACTAATTATTATTATTTCACAATTAAATCTGATTATTGTTTATAATTTAAAAGAATTAAAAATCAATGATATCAATAAATAATTTTTTTCTATATACAAAATAGTAATAACAGTCTTTCATTTATTACCCTATAATTTATTATATTATAACGCTCATTTCTATACAATAATAAAATAATCTTATAATTTAGAAAAATGAACGCGATGTGTCTAAAAATTATTCGGACATGTCTGTGTCTAAAAATTTTAGAATAATAGTAATTTCATCTAATTCAAAATTTATTTTTATATAATGACTAAAAATAAAATTCAAATTTTAATTAGTAGGAACCCAATGATTTGTGACCATTGGATGAATAGTAAACGTTATTAAATATAGGGACTCACTATTAAATTTAATATCATAATGTATTTGTTCCAATAATATTATTCAAAAATTAATTATTATTTAAGTAGCCGTCTATCTTAATCGATATAACAATAACACAATAATAAGATGAGTACAATTAAATATGTCTAAATTTTATTTTAAAAAATATATGTTTATTGTAAAAAAAATTGAGGGTAGACACAATTAAATATATCTAAATTTATTTTAAAAAATATATATTTAATATCAAAAAAAAAATTTGATCGGGGGGGGGGGGCACGTGCCACCCTGGTCCAAGGTGGCTCCGCCCCTGATCTAGATCCACTTATGTTTTCCATTAATTTCCTTCAATAATAAATTACTCATTGTGTATTGGTGAAAGGCTCACTTATCCGAGACTATCCATGCCGTTGGAAAAACTATGCAAACATAAAACTCGGCTAAAAACTACCTTTGACAGAAAGAAGGGAAAACAAGAACAGGTTCTCAAAATAACAATCTACAACACTTGGTAAAGCAAAAATCAACAATTTAAAAGGCAGTCATTAGAAAAGAAAAGAAATTTTGCCTGTTTTGGACAACATTCAAGTATGGAAAAGGAGAAGCATCCACCAAATATGCAAAAACAAACACATCATACATGTCTTCACCCACCAATCTATATATTAGTTTAACAAAATAACACCACATAAGGTTCTGGATGAAGGCATGATGTACAGGTAAAAACAAACAACAGGCCGATATCATATCTAAGCAAGTTTTATGTTTTCCACAAACTATAAACAACTAAGATTATTGAAACAGGGTGTATGGATAATTCTCCATTGAGTGAATGGCAAATTAAGGTCCACCAGCTCGGCTTCTAATAACATCAAGGCCCATCTCAGTAGGGTCAGTTGCTTGCAACTCTATCTGGATACCATCAAGCTCCCTCCTGAAACTGTCCTTGGAGCTGGCATAAATCATCTTGCTTCTCACCGTTGATGTATCAGGAGACCTTTTAACAATCAAATTCAAAAAATATCACAGAGCTGACTTCTTTTTTTCTTGGATAGCATATAGATATGAAAGAAACATCATTAAAAATAAACCATGCACAAAAGAACTTACCAAGCAATGAAGATAATCCTGCTCTTTTGGCAATTTTCCTCAGTTACGAAATCAAAGTCATAGACAGCATATCGGCACTCATTAGCAGGGAGGCTTGCGGTAAAATCCTCGTAACTTTCAGTCGGTTCACCAACCTTTTCCACAACCACCTGGTTTTGCTCCTCTTCAATCTTGTAGACAATAAAGCGGCAGGTTCTTTTTGCCTTCAAGTCTAAAAACTTCAGCTTGCAGTCATCATGAACAGCCATTCCCGATGCTGCGTTGGCCTACATATTGGGTGAAATACTAGCAGATATCATGTAACAAACAGTACTCCGAATTAAAGATGGTAAATTTGAACAAGATCACCAAATATACCCCAACAGATTTTTCTTGCATCAATAACCAAAACTATTTCAGATAGCTCCACTCTGACAACATATGCTACTCAAGCGCCCCCCTCCCCCCCCCAAAAAAAAAAGAAAATAACCCACAAAAATGTACTAGTTACATTTTTTGTTTTCCTTCTCTCAATTGCACTAGTTGCTCAAAGTTAATTCAAAATCATTTTCGAATCAAGCTTAATTGTTTTGCTTAACCCTCAATAACCAATCACTGGAATCTCTAATCCGTTAAACTGAAGGTCTACCAAAAGATTGAAGGCAACTGTGGAAAAGATGGAAAAATAGAAACTGATCAAAAGTTCATTCTATTGCATTATGGATGTAGAACAGGTTTGGTGCGTTGTGTATGCTGGGTGCCTCACTTCTTCAACTGCTGCCACTTGTGACAATGAGGAAGTGTGGAAAAAAGAAAAATTAAAATTGCAGAATGATGAAAGAATAAATAAAAAGTGGAGTGACAGATACAAGAGTGAGGCTACCTGAGGACCCAATGGCATGGCCCTACCTTAAGTTTCAAACTTACAATTTAGCCGTTCAATCTTGGTATCATTTTTTTGTTTCCCCCCTTAAATTTGTGTTTTTCTCAAAGTGATCCCTCTGAAATGAAATAAGTTATTGCTCAACTCTTGATAGACCCCCTACGTTTGAATTTCCAGCTTCGCCACATTCAAAGTTACCATTCTCTGAAGAGGACGAGTGTCAAGCTTGCCCCTTCTAGTGTGCCACAATGCTTGTTATACATAAAGAAGCGAAATACTCCCCCCCCCCCCCTCTGGAAAGTAAGATGCAAAAATTCTTTATTTTTAATTTTTAACTAGCAATTCCCAAGAGACCAAGTTAGTAAGGGCTAATTCTATTGTTAACTGCAGTATACTTTAATAGGGCTAACAACAATGTTGCTTAAGACCAAGAAGAACTGCTCTTGGTATAGAACTCCCCTATAAAAATTTGAATATGATGCTTCATCAGTGGAATAAGTTTCGTGAATATCGGTTCCTTGAAAATAGAGTTCAATTCCCAATGTAAATCAACCAAAGATCAAACAAATGGTCTAATTTTTTTATTTTTTTTTGTTGTTGAAAAAACAAAAAATACATTTTGCTCTCTTAATTCCATTTCTAATGGCGTACTTTCCCTAAATCATGCACATCCGCAGCCAACAATCCCATGGCATATAAACACAGTCATTTCAAATTCATCACATAAATTTAAACAAATTCCACTCGATAACCATATCCATGGCATATAATAATTACATAGATCAAAAAAGAAAACGAAAATACAGAAAGGAAAAGGAATTCACAGAAATACGCGTGTGGAATACTCTGACCATGTTTGCCGGAGGGGCGCAGCAGCAAAAGAGACTCTGAGAGGGAATGGAGGAGAGCGATCGAGAAAACTTAGGGCTCCGATACAGAATAAAGTTGGGGCTTAAGATTACAGATGCAAAAACGCGATCAAAATTTGTTTCGCTTATTGCATAGGAAATGAAAGATAATTTGACTCGTGTTTTGAAATATAACAAAAATAAATAAATAATTTAAAAATTAGTTTAAAAAAAAATATTAATCGAAATACATAAAATTATATTAAAATATTTTAAAATAATTGTTTAAATATCTCAAAATATTATAAAATATATCGAAGTATTAGAATTTTCGATCTCCTTAAAAATAGAAACATTTCAACTCTTCAGTCATTTTAAAATAAAATTTTAATCCTTGACAAAAGGTGTCGTTTTTTTTTCTTTCTCCTTTTGCCTTCAAAGTGAAAACTATTTTGATCAAAAAAAAAAAAACATTTTAAGATTGTAATTTATATTTTAAAAAAGAGAGAATTAAACTTAGATCTCTTAAAATTTATCATTTAATCACTTAAACTTTATGATATTTGAAATATTACATATAGACCCCCTAAAATTTGAATACACATAACACTTAGACTTACACCAAGGGTCTAAATATATCTGTTAATTAATTATACTTAGACCTCCTAAAATTTATAAGTATATAATATTTAAACCCTTTAAGTTTAAAATATTATACTTAAATTAAAAATACTCCAATCAAATATTTTAAATTTACAAAAAAAATTTATGTTCTATTGTATCATTTATTGAAATAAAATTAAAATTAAAAATTTAATTTTTTCTTAAAAAATCGTAATTAGTATACAATTATACTATCAATTGGAATAAAACTAAAAAAATCAAATAAGGGGTCTAAATCATTCATAATAGAATATGAATTTTACATCCAAAATTTATGTTATATTATTTCATTTATTGAAATAAAATAAAAAAAAAAGTTTATTTTTTTAAAAAAAAATTATAGTTAATATATAATTATACTATCTATTAAATATTCAATGTAATAGGTATATTATATCATTATTGTCACACAATATAATTGATCAATTATGAATAACTATAGAAAATTAGTGAATCCCATCAAACACCAATAATTTTTACATTCGATTACTGATTAAATGATGGATTTATAGAGAGAATGAATAGGAACAATCGCACGTACCCGTCTTTTTACAAACACTCTCAACCACATAAACTTACCCTTACTTTTTCAAGAATTTAACACTCCCCCAAGTCTAAATTCTTGGATTTAACACTCCCCCAAGTCTAAATTCTTGGATCCGTCCCCGTACAGCCTCCTACCTCTCAATAAAAATATGCATGCATACCTATTAAGGTTATACAAAAGATGTCAAACTTATAATAAAATGTCAGACGGCTATAAAGAGATGCATCATTTGTGTATACAGAATTTTGGTGTGTCAGTACATTTACCCAAGTTGCAGACTTGCAGGCTGCCGCTCACCTTTCATTATTATCCCCCATAGTTCTCCATTCACTAGAGTTAAATCCGCTTCAATTTAATTTCTCTTCAATTCTCTTATTTGAGTATCTCCTATCATGCATTTCATGGAGACCCATGGTACACAAGTAGGTCACTCCCGCAGTCACGCATTAATGGTGAATTATCCGCCAAAAAAAAAATTTGACGTATATATTTATTCGATGGGATCTGAATCCCATTCACCTACCGGTTGTAGATCATAAGCAAAAAACACACACACACACACAAACACAAGAGCAAGATTACTGCACTATTGAACATGGAGGAATGGAAAATAGAAAATGGGCAAAGGCTACACTTCCTCTATGGAAAGAATGATTAGGAAATGTAAAGGGATCAGTCTTATTAGCCTACATTACAAACTCTTGCTTTAGGCTTCAAAGATATGTGTAGTGGCACACTTTGTACCAGAGTGAAGCTAGTTATGGAGGCATTTCAGTATTAGGCAGCGTGTGGATTAGCATGACCTTCCTTTGCCAATCTGTGAGTGAAAGATACTGGAACCAAGCAAAGCTCTCTGTTGCGCAAATTGAATTGTTTCCCTCCAGTTTCCTGTTAACAAATCCAATTTGTACAAAAAAAAAAAAAAGAATGAGAGAGAGAGAGAGGTCAGTGTAAATTAGGCATGAAGTGATCAAAAGACTCTGACAACTGACTCATGTATACCTGTAACTGTGAGTGAAGAGGTCTGATGCTGACATATGAGGTACTCAGCGTCTCCAACAAATTCTGTAAACAAATCAACAGAAGCATAAATAAGTGAAAATATAGAATGAACTATGCATTATTTGTGAATCAAAAAACCGAAGCTCTCAGCTAAGAAGCTTTATGATTACTTTCCATTAAGGTTAAGTCGATGAAATATTTATACCTGAATTTGATCTTGAAGAACCTTGATAGATATGGAAGCCTCTTGAAGAACTGAAGCTGTGTCAGCCTGCAATTGGTCCACAACTGTCAATTTTGTGGCTTTACGCCAATATAAGAATATTTCAACTTTAAGAATTAAATCAAGACGAATTGTTGCTAGAGTTCATATTGGTGCTTTGATCAAATTGAATAAATTGAACCTTAGAAGTAACAAAATTCAACAAGAATGTTTTGAAAAATGCACTCTAACTTCGAAAAATTCAACAAGAATGTAATCTTTTTGAGTTGCTGACCTTGCCATAAGGAGAAACCAGTTTCTGCAGAGCTGTAATTCTGTCACTTAGCTTTTGGCTTCTCCGTGCGGGCGCCTGAAACCACAAGCAAAACAAAATAGCTTCAGAACAAGATTTCCAAATTTCTGAATAATAATACTTCAATGGCTATAGCTCAGCTGATTGATAGTACATTGAACTTCTAGCACGGTTCACTAGCGAAAGAGGGGAAAGTTCAAGGAAATTTAAGTAGCCTGCAGGGTTGGTGGGTTAAGGAAGCCAATGGTTTGAGACTTTTAACTAAGCTATATTGAATACATACTCTTTGGGTTTCCATTCTCTCTTCCTGGATTGTGGTGTGCCCCTGCTCTTGAAAGCAAAGTTCCATCTTCTTATTTCTTGTACCTTCATTCAGCGCAGATTTGTTGCCCACCAGTTTACTAGAGTTCCTTTTAGATACGAGCTTAGTTATGTCAATTGGACGTTTTCTTGAATTTTGTATGCCCTGAAAGTCCTACAAAATTGAAGTGGGAGGAGGGGGAGATATAAGCCGGTTGAAGCTATTGTTCTATTGGACTAAAATCATGCAATGAAAGACAATATTTGTCTTCAATTCAAATCAAACATTAAACACAACACAGATTTGTGGTGTAAGGACTATCCATGAGGTTGACTCCACATGATATAATCCCCTGCTGAGATTAAATAGTCATGTGGGTGATGTCTCTCAGGCAACTCCTTATCATTTCCATCAATCGAGAAGTATTTGAAATTCAAAACCTATCTTGAGACACCAGCAAAGAGATTTTCATACTGAACTTGGTAATTCTACTATGCCACTCGTTAATTTTTACTATGGAACGCATCAGCTATCGCAGGTAGTAAAGGTCTTAAGCAATGTACCAGAAAAAAACATTAGAATGAACGTTACTCAAAAAAAGTGCTTAAAACAGTTTTTTTTTAAAAGAATAGTAAAGAGATATGATCAGGCAAGATCTTATTTTATTGTGATGTGGACTGAGAGGCATAAACATGTAAAATAGATCTAAAACTATAAATTAGTCACTTCTTTCATTTCAGTATGCATGCTTACAGCTTGACATTGAGGAACTGGAAGCTTCTTGTTATGGGACAATGGCTTTTGAGGAATATCATAATCATAGGTACTTAGATAACCATCTCCTAACCAAGGGTAATCTAGTCCTTCCATTGTCATCAGCGAGGACGGCCCTGAAAATTTAAAGGATTGTAAATAGGCCTTATATAAATGATCAATTCATCAGCGAGAGTGGTTGAGATAGAGACGAAAAAATTGGCGAATAATTAGGCCTGCATGGAAAGAATATGTAATGCAATATAGAATAAGTGACTGATAGGGAGAGGCTCATCGAACCTGGTTGGCAGTTGAGGGAGAATTGAGACTGAGTAGCAAAGCCTTCACTGAGCTGGTTTTGACCACTGTACAATCTTGAATCCATACAGAAGCTAGCATAGACATTTCTATTGAAAAGTTTATATAAGGAAAGAAACATTAACATTCTTCATTTGTTCAGTCAATATTCCAGATATCGAATACTTGAATAAGTCTCTAAGTCTCAAATGACTTAAGATTTTTTATCATTTATCTCTCTCAAACCGTTCATAAGTGAGAGCGAGACATGAACCTAACAATAGGCTCCCTATATAGTAATATATACTTAAAACTGTCCTGCGCTTAAGGTTTAATTCTTATTATACTTCTGTCCTTCAACCTTTTCCACCTTTTTCTTTTTTTGATCCAAAACCTTTTCCACCTTGAAAATAGAATTTTTGTCCTAATTTAAGAGAATTCTATTTCAAACCTTGCTTGGTCATTTTTAAACAAAGTATTATAACAAATTAAAAAAACACTTGGGGTGCAAACCAAATGCTTGATAGGACTTTCTGAACACATTTTCTTTCTCCTTCCGAGAACCGATTTGAGAATGATCTCTTTCTCAAACAAAGTGCTTGCTTGCAAATGTTTAAATTGTGAAGATAATAGGATGACATACACTTTGCCATCCATTTGCACTGGGATTTCAGTGATGATCGCATTGTTTCCTGAAATTAAGTATCAAGAACAGAATGCCAAAATCATTACAATATTAGACTAAATACCTATCCATTTAAGTCCAGAGTTTCTTGAATACTACCATAACTGTAAAGCTGTGATGAAACCGATGGTAAGATGGCGTTCTTCATTGCCAGGAACTGCAAATATCTCCGATTCAGGCAGATATATATGAAGCTGCTTATGACCCTAATTATATGTAAGCGTAATGATGCTGGGATCAGCAGCCTGCACCCAAAACTTTGGGACAGCTTCTAACAGCACCCTACAAAGAACTTCACAAAAAAAGTATATAACTTCACATTAGAAAGTGAATAGATTAAGTTATAACCAACACCTTTCATAATTAGTGCAGTATGGTTTCTAATTACAGGCCAAGGAGGTTCACAGAAAAAGTAGCACAATTATTTCAAGATGAAAAAAAATTGGGTATGGATGAACCACATACCAAAATGCAATATGAGATGTACAACATGCATAGAAACCTTTGAGGGCTCCATTTTCGTATTATTTAGAAACCACCATAATCAAATGATGATACCAGAAATAAAAAGTCAGTTCAGATCAACAGTTCAAATAGTGGACATGTCAGGCAGAAAATAGAATAGCCAGAGTGATCAATATAGTAATTAATAGACACATACCCACATACGAATTATACTTCAAAGTTCAAACCCTAATCTATGCTATTGAGAGAGAAGAGAATAAAAACTCATCAAACCCTAGTCTTTGCTTCCTCACCTCTGATCTGACCCACGGAGAAATCCAATCTTCCTTTAGCTAATCCTTTTGTTTGGTCACCAATGAGAAAAATATAAAGAGACTGTTGAGTTTAGAACTCTCTTGATGATGATATATCTGTATATGTGTGTGTGTGTGTGTATGATTTGGACTTGAAGGATTACTTGGAGTATAACAAGGGCAATTTTCCTTTCACATGGGAGTCCCGAAGGTCATAGCTCACCCTATTTAATGCATGGTCTGATGAGACGTCTGTGTAGAAGATGACGAGAGGATAGTTTTCTTACACATGAAGGGCGGCTCTACGAGTGTGTTCGAGTTCGCTTTCAATGTGTTTGACTTGTTTATGTTAAGAAAAACCTGACCGTCTGAGTAGAGATTCATGGAAACTCAAAGTTTTCGATTGAGACCTCTTCTATTTAAGGTTTATGTCGTAAAAAACAATGGTTAAGCAACAACCTCAACTCAACCGAGTCGGGTCTGTTGACTCAGTGGATAATTTTTTGAAGTTATAAAGTTAAGTTATGAGTAATTTATCATTTATGAATATTTTAATTCCCTCATAAATAGCCTGTTTTTGACTGAATTGAAGAAAAGATAAATCGAGATAAACATAAACTAACTTAAACACCCTTAGTTAATGAACATAGAATTGTTGTCATGCATGGTAAACACGTCAAAGGGTCCGTTTTTTTTTTTTTTATATGAATTGGATCCGAATTTCAATTCGATTAAATGTAAATGAATTGATATTTTCTATACTGATTATTTAGATTCAAACACAAGTATTTCACGATTTCAGATTGTGCACCAATATCCAATTCGATTGCAATCTGAATATCTCATGGAGTTGAAATCTAGATATTATTTGCTAAAATTCAGCTTTAATGAAGTCATTTGAATTATAAAGGATATGAGCAATATTACGTAGACCTAAAAATAAACTCTATCCGTTATTCAGATTGAATTTTATAAACGGAGTTAGGAATTGAATTGGAAGAAATCCTATCCTACCCTACATCAACTCAATCCTTTTCAACTTGACTTAGTATTAATGGTAACTACGCCGTTGATTTTACGGCAAAATACTGTATAAACTTGACTTAGTTTAGCTCTATAAACAAGCTAGGATCATATGATGATAGTTGGTAAGCCCACAAAACGTCCTTAATCTACTTCTTCTGCCTTGTGACAAAAATATATGTAGATAATTATTTGTTCATCTGCAATTGTGGATGTGAAGTCTTCTTTTTTCCCTCCCTTTCCTAGTTAAAAAGCCCCTCATTTTTTTTTATTGAGTGTGACTATGATTTTTCCAACCATGCATTTTTTGAACTATTACAAACGCACACAAATCACTCGCATTGAATCAATGAGGATGTTTATTGTGAGAATCAAACTTAGAACTTCCAAATATTAATAATTTCGTCAAACTAGATATAAAATCTTCATAACTAAGATCTGAAAGTAAATGATATATGCGATCCCTGGGGAGAGGTACATGACTTTGGTTTGATATTATAGAGAGGAGATAACAAGATTCAAACTCACGACTTTAAGGTCCAACAATAATGATCATTAGGCTAACCGTTAACCTCAATAAAAATCACTTCAATTTATTTTTTATTTTCTTTTTCCAATAAAATAAACGTATACATATCCATCGCGAAGAAGCGTACCCACCTTAGTCATCAAAACAATTTAGTCATTAAAAGGCCTAACACAGATTTGAACACAACTCAGTGGACTATGTTGTATTACATTTCATTTTTAATATACTCTATATATTAGATGATGTACACGTGTGCTATGTGAACCATTTTGAACAAAAAAACAAAGGATTGCATACACATCCATCGCGAAGAGAAGTACTACACATTGGCTAGTAACACCGAGTTAAACCCAACTCAGTGGGACTCCTGGTATACCTAATGTATGTGATTTTATATAACCTAGGATATACTCTTCTCCTTGTCTTCCTTGCATGGTTTTTGTTGCTTGTCTCTGCATATTGGCATGGCTCTGTTGACCTCTCCACCATCGATTATACAAACTACCCTGGAGAGAAGATAAGACACATCACCTAATTTTTCAACTTCATTATTAATTCATTCTATTGAAATCTTCTACCGATCGATTGACTCTGTCGTGGCATCAAAGTCAACCAACAAGCTTCCTCCTTGTCTTTTAACTCCATACAAACAGTAGTTCTGCATATTTTTTGTAGTATATATGTATAGGATCCATCTCCGATTAACACATGTGATGATCGCGGATATCACAATTATGTTATTAATCAGCCTATACCAAATCATGATCCAGAACTGCGGATTTCTTGTAATATTCTCTCTATTTGGTTATGACTTCTTACCCAGTTGATGCCAAAAGAGTCAGCCTGTCTTGTTTGTGACAACCAAATATTAAGCTTAAGCACTCCATGATGATGACATGTGGAACTGGCAAAATTGTTTGGAATCTGCCATGAAATCACCAGACATAGTTTCACTAAAAGATTTACTGAGTGGATCAGAAAATTAGACTACATAAAACATATATACATATGTGTGTGTGTGTTTGTTTTGCCAGAGAAAGAAGGAACAAAGGACAAGCAAATCAATGCTCATATGGATTGAGAACAACTGTGTTATGTTGGACAGAGAAAATGAGGAAATTATTTCCAGGTGTTTGAGAACAGGTTAAAAATGTAGTGTGGAAGAAGTATGTTCCAATGCATTGCTAATGATCAGAATAAAACATTAGGGTCCAAGAAATTTTTTGTAAGTTAGGTTTTGTATTCTATCTTAAACTTACTTGTGTTTAGACTTAATCACTCAGACTGTGCAAAGGTAGTATCTGTCTTGTCTATATCTACATGAATCTTCAATTATTAATATAAGGCTGAATAGAATAACTAGCTATGCAGGCCAGTTTATACAATTTTTATAACTTATAGTTTCCTTAATATTTCTCTTATTATACTACATGTGATGGCAGGCATATGTGCATCGGCGAGATTGTTTCATTATGATTCAGAGTCATAGGTTTGAATTATGAAAACAATCTCTTCGCTTTCAAGTTAAAAATGTGTGCATGTGATCTCATCAAATCTCATATGGCGGGGTTTTTTTTCATTTTTTTTCTTTTCAGAATAAAGAAACAGACTCTCTACTTATAGGGGTAAAGTTGCGTACATCTAACTCTCTCCAGACTTGGCAATGACAGAAGTCTCGTACACTAGGTATGTCTTTTTTAGTGGTATAGCCCTTGATTAATGTTCCAGAAACCTAATTAATTATCACTGTTTGTGATCATTGAACTCCATATATATAGTTAATTGCCAGAAGATTCTAATTATTTAATTGTTCATATTCCCTTCTTAAACTGACAAACACATTCCAACAAGCACCATACCAGCAGCTTTGGTTTTGGATTAGAAAAAAAGGTTGACAACTGTACGGTGTGAAAGAAAAACAGCAATTGGATGCTTCTTTATTATATATATGTATATAATACAATGCCAAACATTGAAGCATATTAGGACTAAGAATCTAAGACAAATCAAAGTGATTAGACTTGAACTCAAATCCAAGCATAATCGGATAATATTTTGACCTATGATTTGCTCCTTGTAATAGAAAAATATAAAAATCCAGGCAATTGATCATTGTCATGGGTGGTGCTAGATTAAGACGTTAGAACTAGGTTAATCGAGTCAAATTTTGCGAGTTTTGAACCTAAACCTGTCAAGCTCTTTTTTTCAAATGAGCCTACAAAATTTTTCAAACTCGACTTGTTTAGAAAATGAATCAAGTCTAAATAACTTGACTATTTTACATATAAACGAGTCAAGTGAAAGTTTGAACAGAGCCTTTTAAACTCATTTTTCTAAATGAGTCTAAAATAATGTTCAAACTCAGTTGTCGAGCTCGAACCAAGTCTTATATGAGCCAAGTTGGAGTCGAGTCAAAATAATTCGTCTTAATTAACAACCCAAGTTAGAACGTCCAATAACACATGAAGCACCAGCAAGATGCTGATGAACTCCCAAAGTTGGAACCTAGTTATAATTACTATGGTAAGTATACTTTTTTGTCTTTTTGTTTTTTTCTTTGTTGAATTTTCTTTATCTAGTTTTGGTCCCTTCTCTAACCTCAATCGCATGTATAGTAATATGTAAATGACACATACTTGAGAGTATCATTAAGATCAATTTCATAAAATAATAGCCAACACAGGCTTTCACTCTTTTGATGAAATTATTTTTTAATAGGTGTTTGGTTGATCAGAAAGTTCAACAGTAAGACATTCCATACAAATCATTCTAATCCTCTAACTGATCCTTCTCTCAAATTCCATTTGTAAAACGGTACCAAGAGATGTAGTGAGTTTG